GATAGATGATAGATAGATGGATAGATGGATGGATAGATAGATAGATGGATTGATGATAGATGGGTAGATGGATAGATAGATGGATAGATGGATGATAGATGGGTAGATGGATGATAGATGGATGATGGATAGATAGATAGATGGATGGATAGATGAATGGATGGATGGATAGATGATAGATAGATAGATAGATAGATAGATAGATGGATGGATGGATGGATGGATGGATGGATGGATAGATGGATAGATGGATGGATGATAGATGGATGGATGATAGATGGATGGATGATAGATGGATGGATGATAGATGGATGGATGATAGATGGATGGATGATAGATGGATGGATAGATGGATGATAGATAGATAGATAGATAGATGGATAGATAGATGGATAGATAGATAGATGGATTGATGATAGATGGGTAGATGGATAGATGGATGGATAGATAGATAGATGGATAGATGGATGGGTGGATGGATAGATGATAGATGAATGGATGGATGGATGGATGATAGATGTAGATAAATAGATGGATAGATGGATGGATAGATAGATAGATGATAGATGTATGGATAGATGGATAGATAGATGGATAGATAGAGGGATGGATGGATGGATTGATGATAGATGGGTAGATGGATAGATGGATGGATAGATGGATAGATGGAGGGATGGATAGATAGATAGATGGATAGATAGATGATAGATGGATGGATAGATAGATAGATAGATGGATAGATAGATGGATAGATAGATAGATGGATAGATGGATGGATAGATGATAGATAGATAGATAGATAGATGGATGGATGGATAGATGGATGATAGATAGATGGATAGATAGATGGATAGATGGATGGATAGATGATAGATAGATAGATAGATAGATAGACAGATAGATAGATAGATGGATGATAGATAGATAGATAGATGATAGATGTATGGATAGATGGATAGATAGATGGATGGATGGATGGGTGGATGGATGGATAGATAGATAGATGGATAGATAGATGGATGGATGGATGGATGGATGAATGGATAGACAGACAGATAAACAGAAATAACTTTATTAATCCATCACAGTATGTGTGAGCTTTAGTACCTCTCCCTGCAGCCGGCTGACGAGGACCTGGTGTCTCTGCAGCTCCTGGTCTTTTTCCAGCAGAGACTCCTCTAGCTCCTCCACCCTCAACTGTGCATCCTCTCGCAGCTTCTTCTGTAGGTTTATCTCTGCTGTGGCCTGAGTGGACACCTGCAGAGCCTCACTCAGCTGAACAGAACAGAACAGAACAGAACACAATGCCCCTTTAATTCAAAACTAAATTTTCTATATATTAGGGATGAAAAAAAAACCAACTCCGTCTGACCTCAGTTTCCATCCTAAAGATGGTGGCGTTGAGCTCAGATGTCTTCTTATCCTTGGTGTCTTTGTCAACTTCCAGCTCCTCCAGTTGTCTCTCTGTTAGCCACAGTTTTTCAGCCAGATTCTGAGCGTGCAGGGTTTGTTTATCCAGGTTGTCCTAAACACAATATGTAACATAATGACATTTGAAATCTTACTTTTTAAATCTGATTAATCAAATGGTAATGGTAATTAATCACGATTAATCAGGATGACTCATTTAAATGATATTTACTGAAATGTTTTTCCTACTGCTAGAACTGAAAGACAAAAACAGCAGATAGATGATGGAGTTTAGTCATTATTGTGCATCTTGATGGTATGTTGTTTAGGGAGTTTCTTTCTAACCTTCAGGGAAATGTTTGTCCCTGACAATCTTAATCAGTCTGCATTATTGTGATTACAAACCGTAATGTCACTGTCTGTCCAGGTTAAACTGAAACAAAACGTGAAATGGAGACATTTTTTTTGCCCCTGACAGGTCTTACCTCTGCGTCTTGGATCTTGTTTTTCAGCGACTGCTGCAGGAAGTTGAAGGCATATTCCTGAGTGTTGGCCTCGACCATGATGTCCCGTGCCTCTCTCACCTCGATCTGGAACCGGAGCAGGCGCAAGAGAAGTATGTGTCAGTGTCAGTCACACACACACGCACATCTACTTTTCTTCCTCCTTCACACCTCCATCTCTCTGTACTTCTCTGCCAAAGACTGGTTCTCTCTCTCTATCTCCAGCATCTGTTCCCTCATCCTCTTCATCTCGTTGCTCAGCTGAGTGTTGGTTCTCAGAAGATCCTCGTTGTTGACCAGCAGAGCACGCATCTCAAACCTGCAGCAGAAGAGGTGAAAACAAAAACAAAAACATATAATTCCTGTCGAGAAAAAAAGAAAGAGAAAACTAAACATCCTAAAACTTGCAGAAAAATAAAACAAAAGTAAACTATGGAGAGAAGATCATATTTAGAATAAATAAAAAATGAAGAAAATCGACAAATAGATGTATTATAAGAAACTGACACAAATTGTAAACAAATGTTTTAAAAAAAGACATTAAAAAAGGTGTGATATTCAAACAAAAACATAAAAAAAATAATTAAAGCTCTTTTGGAAAATACATTATTAAACGATCGATTTAATAATTAACGATTATTAAACGAACATGAAGATTCTTAACCCACTGTCTGTTTTAAGAAACGTGAAGATAGAAAGATGTAAAGATGCCAAATTCTTAACCCACTGTCTGTTTTAAGAAAAGAAGTGGAAGGAGGAAAAAAGAACACACCTGATCTGGTTCCTCTCCTTCTCCATCTCCACGCTCTCTGCCTCCAGGAATTGGTTTCTCTGAAACACAGACACCACGATCAGAGCGGTTTGGTCACATGACTCCATCTGATGGTTGACTGGTTGGTCAGGTGACCACTCTCACCTTCTGACAGGAGTCCAGCTGTTTGGTCAGTTCCTCAATGTAGTCCTTTTTATTGGGGGCCCCCAGGGTGGCAGAACGCATACTGTAGTGAGTGGATACCGCCTGTAGGGGGCAGCACAGACTGTTAAAAAAGGTTTCTAAGTGTGCCACTGGAGTTGTTGTGTGCTGTGTTTGCTACAGAAGCCTGAGAGGCCTTCATGTTCAGTCCAAATTTTCTGTAGTAAGACCAGAACATGCCAATTTTAAGCAAAAACCAAAAACATTGTCCTCAATCATTTTTGATATTGGTCACTATTTCTAAAAGGTGATCAGGACAGGATTAAAAGTCTCCACAAATCATTCAAACAGGTCAATAAGCATGTGTCCCTGAACGTGTTCCACCTACAGGGTTGAGCTGCGTGTTGACCTCTGGTCTTCTCCTCAGAGTGTCATAGGTGGAGAATCTGGTACGAGGAGCAACAAGATTGGCTGTGGCTGCCACGCCCACTGGACTAGTGCTGCGGTAGTTCATACTGTAGAGGTTCATTTCTGAAGTGGCAGGAGAGAGTCCACCCTGGACCTGGAAAACAGACAAAGTGTGCATTGGTATTTTCTATTTGAGAATCCATGGTAGAAATTGGAACTAGGGTTATACATTTGGGCGACGACATTACATGTTTTGGTGATTAATTTCTCCATATAATTTTGGCACTGGTAAAAATACATTAAAACAATTGAATTCCAGCAAAAACAATATTTGTATATATGTGTGTATATATATATTTACATATCTATATATGTATATACACACCCACACACATATATATAATCAGCAAACAACAACAATAATTACGACTATAATAATTAAAACAATCAAGTACAAACCTTGAACTCTGACATTCGATGCATGGGGTTGTACTCCATGGAGGCAGTTGTTATGTAGGGACTGTTAAAAGCTCTGGGAGGGCTGTCGACAACACCCAGCTGCAGATAAGAAAATAATGACCAATAATAAATGTCCAAAAATGTTTTGCTTTTGGAACAGACAGGTTGTTTTCATTTTAATAGTACAATTATTGCCCGTGGTAGGTTTGGCCTTAGTGAAAACATGGCTGCCGAAAGTAACGCAATGAAAAACAAACCTATATTTTTGAAAGGAGGTTTAATTGATAGAACATGGAGGGTCCAAACTGGATTGGAAATGTGTAGTTTTGTCCATGCTCCCCCTTCTGGCAGCCATGTTGTAATGAATGCACCAGCAGTCAAATAGTGCATGGATTGTAATGTTCACATTAGTTTTGGTCAAAATCTAAAAAAAAAATCAACAACTAAATATAACAATCAGATTTATGAAATCAATTGTGCTTATAGTTTGGGTTTCATTGTAAATTTGTATTCAATATCAATTTATGAAATCAATTGTGTTTATAGTTTGGGTTTCATTGTAAATTTGAATTACATGTGGAATATATTTGTTATAAATATACAGTAGGGTGTAAAAAAAATCATGTTTTTGCACAGTATCTATGATTCACATGTTTAGTGTTTTTTTTTAAATTATCAATCAAATGACTTCCATTAAAAGCAGAACTAAAAGTACAATGTGTGACAGTGTGGAGACAGGTGCGGAGAGGGACGACCAATGAGAAACCTGATATTTCTGTTTTGTCCGAAAGAAAGTAGAGTCTCTAAACTGTGACGAAAGAAGGATGCCAAAAATAAAATAGAAAATGTGTAAATTACTTCATTAAAAAAATATTCAAATAAATTCAATGCAAAGGTTCAAGATCCCTACATTGTACAGTTAAGAGACTATTTTATTATTATTCAACTATATTTCTGTTCTAGGGAAGACTTTATCAACAGTACATAGGAAGGCCAAAGACTAAGAATTATTACTCAACTATATTTCTGTTCTAGAGAATTACTTTATCAACAGTACATAGGAAGGCCATTTAACGTTTTGTCCTCCAGAGGGCAGTGTTTATTAACTAGTGAAGTAGATTATCCACATCCTTTTTCTTAGCACATTAAGTACATTTAATTGACACGTCATACCAATGAAAATTCATTTTCATTAAACATGTCCCCTATGAAAACACACAATAACCCATCTCACCCTGTCAGATGTTGTGTCCCAGTCCCTTGAGGTCAGAGACTCCAGAGATCCTTTGTAGTGATTTGGCCCCAGTCTAGTGTTATCCCACCGGGACATCTTGGGGCCATTCTCTGCCATGGGTGCACTGACTACCGGGGCCTCTGCCTCCCTGTTGCTACTCACTCCGTTGGTCCTCAGCTCATTGCTGAGGAACAGCTGATATTTTGGGTTCTGGTTGATGGACAGGACTCTGGGTGTTGAAGGTTCTTCCAGTGTTGGACTGTCAGGTTGCTTATCCAATTCAGACTCCTGGATAAGAAAGAGAAGAAGAGTAAGTATTTGATTGCTTTTATCAAAGACTTTTAGTTTCCTCCTAGAAATTTAAGTTTAGAGTATTTTGGATTGTAATCAAGTAGACGGTGACAACAAACAAACATTGCATTTGTATATCAAGTGAAACACAAACTTTGGACCTGGTCTTGATGTGTACGTCCTGACCTGTAGTCAAAGGACAAAGCACAGCCAAGCCAAAAATCCTTGCAACGCAGCCTTTGCGGACATGTGAGAACCAGTAAGGTTATTGCAAACCCCAATAACCTGCAGGTCTTTTATATCTCACCAAGCAAAGTTTCACAAAGACATGGGTTCACGTGTCACAATCACTTCATGCAGTGCAGATCAACACAGTTACGCAGTGAGACGGTTATTATTTTAGTCCGAACACAGAAAGTGCAACATGAAAGAATCACCAAGGTGAGTGAGTGGCGGAGCTGTGAGGCCATGTTGATTAGTATGACGGAGGAGCCAGTGCTTTGCTTCACGACGGGGTTAATTTTGTTCAAGTCATCATGCGGATTGAGAGCGATGTTTTTAGTCATGCACGGCTTCACTTGACGACCTGCAGAGGCCTGTCGTCAAGGTGACCTCGGAAGGCTTTTGTTTTATGGAAAAAGGCTTTGCGGTGGAGCTGCTGTTTTTCTTACCGATCCCATGCCAGAGTCCGCCATGGAGTCTCCACCACAGTCTGTGGCCTGTGTTTTACTTTTTGCTGGTGAAACAATCTTCTCAAGATCGCCTTCTACTGGACAATCAATCCTTGCAGTGATCTGAGTGGTTTTCAAGCTTCTGTCAATGGACTGGAACTCTTCTTTTAGTGGGGGCGTCACAGTGATGCTCGGCACTGGACTTTCAATGTTGCTCAATGGTTTAGAATTAGAATTTACAGCCTCTGTGGATGCCCACTTCGTAGACTGTGCCAGGCCAGAAGAAGGTCTTTGTAGAGTACCGTAAGCTGAGACAGAATCTGGACCAGAGAATTTATAAATGAGGTCTTTCACACTTCCACATCTACGCAGATTTGACCTATAGATCACGCGTGGAGACGGGATCTTATAAAGGGCTTTCCAGGTCAGATCTTCTTTGCTTGTTGTCTAAGAAGAAGATGACATAGGCAGATGCTTAAGGAGCGGAACACAAAGCAGAACCTCAGAAAACTGTGAGCTGTCAATCTGGTTCTGCTCCGTCAGTCACCTTTTTCTTTTATTGTTGGTTATGGAAATAATTGCTGAAGTTTGTACCATATTTTCTGGACTATAAGTCACCCTTTTTTATCCTTCTACTATATATTAAAATACATAGTCTCACGTTGGTTATTTTCCCACTGACAGCCATTAGAGGGCCCTCTAGGCTTGTGTACCAGTATCTGCTACACCTGTACCACTGAAAATTTAAATGTCCAGTGTTATTTTCACACTGGCAGCCGCTAGAAAACACAGGTGCGACTTATAATCTGGAGCGAGTTAGTCTAGAAAATACAGTAATGACTTTTTAATGACTTAATAAAAACAAACAATTTAAAAATTATATTTAATAAATTAAAAATAAAGGTGAAACTTTGGTCTCAAATGAATTGTTCGAGAAAAAAAATGCAAGAATGCAAAATTAACAAAAAGAAATGCATGCTTAATCATATCCACATCTATGGACACTACTGCCACCAACTGGATTGAAAGAAAATGCACAATTAAGTATAGGTGTAGAAAAACCATGGCCATGCAGTTTTATCTGGCACTGAATATGGATAGAGAGCAAGTATTGTAAATATAATTTGAAATGTACCTTTTTTGTAGGCATACAGAATAAGAATGAAAAAAGCATACATATACATCCCTAGAATATATACTATATATATATATATAGTATATATATATATATATACTATATATATATATATATAAGGGATGTCTGTTAATATCCGCCAAATATTAGCATAGTATGTAATATCAATGTACATATATGTATATATATGATATATGCATATGTGTACAAGTATTTATGTATTTTAATACATTTATGTACATGTACATATATGGATATACACACATATTAGAAAGTCTTGTCTATACAATCCAACCGTTAGCTGTGGGATCATTATTTCAAATGTTTAATTATTCACTGAACATAGCATGCAAATAGTTAAAAGTGAATTTTTAACTAAAGGATGTGCGTGTGTCTGTGTGTGTGTGTGCGCATGTTGTTGACTGTTGGAATGCATACATAATGACATGAAGTCCGGTGTGAATGTTTGTGCGTGAGTTTGCATCCTGACATAAATCCCCCTTGAGTAACTGCAACATCTGCTCACTCATCTGGAAAAAAAAAAAATCACTTCCCTCCCTGAGCCGCAGCATCCTACTTTCTAATACACAAATTAAACAAAAAACATAAACTGATACAAAGGGGACAAACTCACATTTGTGACAGAGGAACTAGAAAACTCACAAACTCAAAAACTGACAGCGTTTTAACTTCATTCTGCCAAAGGGCTACTTGAATAAATCCTGCTTTAATTAACTGTCCCCATGACACAGAGGTCAACGGCACTTTCAAAAATGAAGTGGCGAGCAGCCAGAGGTTTAACTTTCATGGCTCCAGAGTCCAAAGCACCGAGTGGCCTTAATCCAGGGACTCGTCTGGCAGTTTCTCCTGGGAGAAATTTTGGGGCCTGGGATGGCAGCGAGGATGGGAGGGAGAAGCGGGGGTAAAAGTCTGGGGTTTATGATCATTATGGTATTATAACGACCAGGCCAGTATTGGGTCTTAGCTGATGGCTATCAGAGGTTTTCATACCATATCGTCTGTCCGTGAATTGTTTGGTTTCGTAAGCTAAATCAAAAATGTACTTAAAGCAAGTTAATAATTTGATGTTTTACTGCTGTCCAAACAGGTAAAGACATAAATGCTTGCTTTCTAGAAAATGACAGGTGAAAATATATGAATGCAGTTCAACTGTATGTTTGAATATTTTCATGGTAAATTAAAGTTCTAATGTTCCTCTGTCAATGGACATAGAAGTATTAAAAAAAGAAAACGCTGTAACTGTTCTTCCACTTACAACTCCATACATATATATGTATATATTTAAAATATTAAATATATATATATTCAAAATAGATTCCTAGGAAGCACATATCTTGAAAGATAAGGCCTTTGTTAAGTAGAAGAAGTCTGTTTGTAACACAATAGCTTTCAAAAGAAATTTTCTGGCTGTTGATTCTAAAATACTGTCTATCCCAAATTTTGCATTTCAGTCAGAGACCTACACTGTTTGCAACTGTTCTAAGTACTTTATATTCAGAAAAACCAGGTCTACATTCCCCAAAGCCCTGGACACACAAGCGCACAATGGCTCAGTATTCCCCAAGGTCCGACTACAGTATAGACATATGGTGTAGAGCCGAACGCCATCTGACCTAGATATGTGATGGCAAAGCACCCTGGGAAATACAGCGAATGTCACGCTGATGTTTGGATCATCAGTGCGGTGAGCATCTGTCTTCAGCTTTGACTAGACATGATATGTCAATCAGAAAGCAGGCAACGTCGGCAACCTGAAAGTTGGAGTTCCCGCAGAACGCTATGAATATTCAGCTCCATTTTTAAGAATGATTAAAGGTGTAGGGATAACACAGAAGGAGAGAAGTAAGTGGGGTGACGTGAGTTAACTTTTTTAAGGGGGTGATATCTGTTTGTTTTTTAAGGAATCCAAGCTAAGAATAACTAAAAAAAAAAAAGCATTACTTTGTTATAAATAAAACATAAGCAAAATAAAAGCTTTGTTTACAACACAGCTGACTTGGCAAAGTAACAGTTACTGTTTAATTCTGTTGTTTTGGTAACAAGATATCAAGCTAAATCATTTGTTACCCCGAGTGAAAAAAAAAAAAGGTAACATTTTACAAAGGTGCCTTGATTAAAGTGAGACTGAACACGAGGTTCTGTACAGCACTCTGGTGAGTTTACATCTGGTGTTTTTGTACCCTTTTGTTGAGAGTTAACAAACACAATCTATCATTTTTGCTGTTTTCTTTGCTAAAAGTCTGGAATGCAAACACTCCTTCACTGCTAACAGGTGCGTTTGTGTGCAGGCCATTCATTTTAACAATTAATAAATCCGTCTCCCTAAAGCTGAAAAGCCTCTTAAATAAATCTACTTAATTAATATCTAATCCTGATGATGCATGATGGTACAAATCCTAGCTCATATTCTAAAGGATGAGCCACAAATAATCTGATGGCAAGGTTATAATGTCTCTGTTAGGACAAATTGCCATTTGGGCATAAATTAGCAGGACAGTTTGGATTTGGATGGCAGTAATGAGATACTTTAACCTTTCCCGAGGGTTATATACCATCAAGCCACTCACCTGTTATTAAGTAATAAATTGTTTTAGGGATGAGAATTATTTATGGTCACTGTCAGTTGTAAATTTCTACTTGTTCCTCATTCAGAACTGTTTTGTTCTGACGAGCAGTTTCCCCAACGTTTTTTGAGCCTAGGCAAATATTGTACATTTAAAAAAAATAAAAAATCCCATTGGGGTACCACAAAAAAAAGTCACAAAGAGTATATGTAAAAAAAATATAATGACCTTCTAGTTTCAATATACTTAAAATTTAGTCAGTATGAAACCTGGGCCTGTTTAGTTGAACACGAGACTGATAGAGTAACAGGAATTGAAGAAAGACACTAAGAGCTTTTTCGACAGCTCAAAGTGTCTCTCTTCTCTAGTGTTTATAGCCATCTGCTGCCACCTAGTGTAAGAGTACTTGGTTTTTCTGTCCGTTATTGTAAGTTAACTTGGATAATTTTCCACAGTGACCTGGTGATCTCTACCGCCACACTATTGAGTTGTGGCAAATAGTTCGGGAATCTCTGGTCAAAAGTTAAAAGCCACAGGTGAGTGTTTACGCTCCTTTACAAGGCATTTTTTTAACTTTTCCAATTTATAAAACCTGACAATCACCAACTGTGGATCAGACATTGTTAATTCTTATAAATTTTTTTTTGCAGCTCACTTCAGGGCTTTCCACAGCTGATCATCCATCTCCATCTAACTCAATGACTTTCCTCCAATACACACATCTCATTCATCACTACAGCCATAGAGTTCTCTGGGGTCTTTTCCTCATTTGTTCGATATCTCCACCATCACTCCTCAGCCCATGTTCAAACCATCTCAACATTGGGAGTTTTTGTTTTTTTTTTAATTGGGACTTTCGCTGTTTCTCTGATTAGAATAGATTTGATTCAACTAGATTATATTAAATTATATGAATTTAGATTAAATTCGATTCAATTAGGTTAGGTTAGGTTAGAAAGGATTACATTATTGATCCCGCACTGGGGAAATGGACTGATTGATTATAATTTCTAATCCAGTCCATTCTGGTCCTTCCAAAAGACGATACTATTCGATATAAAACTTTAACCTAACATTTTGTGACAGTTTTAATTTCCTGATCATTTGTTGGACACCTGTATCAGGGCCTTTTAACGGGCTTTAGAAGTGACAAATAGAGAATATTTCGATGCAGTTTTACTCCAATTGTGCTGTCTCGTTGAAGTCGACTTCAAGTGAAGTGTGTGTAGTGTTTGTAAAGAGCGATGGCTGCGAGCTCCGTGGCTGCTGTTGTGTGTTTAAGCTTTGTGAGTTAAACAGTGATGACACTTTGACAGGTTTTCTGTTATAATAAGACTCTAAACCAGGTTTCTTCCCTCGTCGTTTGCTGTCACGACTGTGTCAGTTTATTATGCTGGGGGGTTTTTTTTTTTAAGGATGGTAAAGGAGAAAGGGAGAGAGTGTGTGAGTGTGCGCGTGTTTGCATCTGTGTGTGTGTGTGTGACAGACAGAGCCAGACGAGCAGGCAGATGTTTCCTTCGTCTCTACTCCGACTGTCTGAGAAAGACTGACAACAGCTGGACCAATGCCAGACACACACACACACGCACACGCACACACAAACACACAGACATACACACAAAGACACACCTGATTTTTTTTTCTTATTGTTCTCTGCTGTTATTTATTCTGTGGTGATTTTTCATTACTTTTGTCCAAATCTGTAGCTGAACAAAGCTCAGTTCAACTCTTGTTCGGCTCTTGTTCACCGTCATAACAAAGGCATGACTTTTCAAATGGATTTGTATAAGAACGGAACCCATTCAAAAACCAAAACATACTCGTGCACTATTATTAAGAACAGTCTAGAATGTAAGGCATCCAGTTTGGATGGTAAGGTCAAGTTTGCGTCACTTGGTTAGCTACAAAATCCCCAACACCAAAATCCACAGAGAAAATTTGTACCATAATTTCCGGACTATAAGCCGCAAATTTTTTCACACTCTTTGAACCCTGCGGCTAAAACAATGATGCAGCTAATTTATGGATTTTTACGAGCTAACGAAGTTCATACCGCTAGCGATCAGTGACTTTTCTGGTAGGCTACTGTGTGTTATACTAGTAACGTATGTCTGTCTGTGAATGGCTGTGTGTGTATATGTGCGTGGAGCGAGCGGGAGAGAGAACGGTAGCTAAAGTTGAGAGCAGTTGAGCCCTGTCCCGTTGTAGCGTCAGTTGGTTATACAGGCGCTGTTAAAACTCTGTTTTTGTTCTGTTGCCGACAGGTTATTCAGTGTTGATTTTGCATTAGCATCATCTATACACGAAAACTTAAAAAGCCCTAATTTTTTTTTTCTACATTCTTTGCATAAGCAACATCCTGTCAGTGCTGCAGTTTTAACCTCCACAAATGCACAAAAAAATTATACTAACAAAATAAATAATAAAAAGTCATTTTAAACAGTGTAGAGAAAATGCCGTGAAGTGAACTGTACCATGTTGTTGTGCTGTTCCGTTTCACTCTTTCTCTGCACGCTGCAGTCACCACCTCTGTAAATGACGTTTTGCTCTACCTCCGAGCTGAAAATAGAATGGTAAATACAAGATTTTTTTTTTTTTTAATTTTTGCAAATTATGTGCATACCACAAATCCTGGGTTGTGTTCGGGTACCTGTAGGAGTGTTGCTGTATTTTCTCTGTGAATTGGGTCAGTCTCTGTGTCTCCTTCTGGTACCGCCTTAGGTCTTGGGTTAACAGATGATGGAGGGTGCACAGTGCCTCCTCCTGGAAGACCAGTCCCTCTGACTGGACCAAACGCTCAGTAATGAGGGCCTGAAGCTCCTGATGAGCACACAACTGGAACTGTTGGGGGAGACAATGGGGGAAACAACCTTCAAAAGTCCATTTCACTTCCCTGTTTTTTGCTTCTGTCAATAACATAACTAAAGTAATTTGTCTCTTCTTTTTTTTTGGTCACGTACTGTGGTTTTCTGGACGTTAAATGCTCCCTTCAGTTGCTCCTCAGTCTCCTTCTTCTTCTGATGAAGTTTAAGAAGCTCAGATCTTAACACCTGCTGGTGATCTTGGATGTGTAGGAGTCTGGAAACAAAAAGGCGGAAATTTAAGGTGGAGAGATTATAGATGGAATAAACTGGTAATATCAGACCTCCATCTGTGACACCTGCAGCCAGTCACACTTTAGCCACGCCCTCCAGAACCACATGACCACTCATCAATCCCACAATATGCTCTGATCATCATGGCTGTTATATTAGCTGTACTGCTCAGTGTGTATCGATGAAAACAACATTATTTGGTCAAGGAAGAAACGTGTGTTTTTCATGAGGAGATTTTTTCCATTTAATCTTACATAGTAGTAGAGGTATGGCAGCTGCAAGTACCGATGAAGACCTAAAAGTTGTTAGTAGTATAAGAGTACTTCAGAAAGTAATGGTAGTAAAAAAGTTCACTCTCTTCAAACTTTGACTCAGTAAATCAGTGTGAATGAAACCACCTGTATCAGTAAGGTTTGAATAAAAAGAAGAATAAAAGTAGCAGTTGATAGTGGTGGTAGTTAAGAAGAAGTGTGAATAGTGTGTGTGTGTATGTGTGTGTGCGTGTAGGTCAGTAGCAGGCCGTGACCATAAAGAAAGCCCTCTCCTCTACATATGGACTCATTAACAACATTATTACTGCTGGACATAAAGTCAGTCCCAGGTGAGAGGACATGCACTGAGACAGCAGGTTGTCGTGAATCATCTGTCCACCGGGGGTCACTAAACCTCCGTGACAGAGTGAGCAAGGAAGACGAATAGGAGCACGAGTGTTTTGTTTGTGAACAGCAGCAGGAAGAGGAAAAGGAGAAGGCGTCTCTTCCAAGAAGTGTCTTTGATGAAGGATGTGAAGACGCCAGGTTCTCTCTGCATCAAGTGAATGGACATCGGCAGAAATAGGCAGCGTTGATGAGGTTTTCAAGGACCTCAGCACTAACTTCACTCCATGACTGGAGTTATGAAGAGGCACTGATCCTTGATTTAAAGATTCATGGATCCCATTACTAACGCTGGACACGGAATCTGTTTCAGAGCCCAGGGAGACAAGAGGTCAGGGACTTTAACTTTCATTGTTTCCATTATTACAACAAGTTTGCAAGTTTAAAACCGGACTGACTAAATCAGGCGTGGACAAACTTTTTGACTCACGGGTCACAATTGTACTAAAACTGAACAGGCGGGCCGGGTCAGGAATAAATAGAATGTGAATTAAGATAAATGGCATGTAAAAGTCATGCATAATAAATAGAATGCTTTTATCATTTTCTACGCCATCTATTGGGGAACATGGATTAAAAAGCTGAACGGGCTGCATCGGGCCCCCAGGCCTTAGTTTGCCTATGCCCAAACTAAAGAGTCTAAAAAAGGCACTGAGATGAATAAAGAAACCTCTCCAAGAAACCCCCAAAGAAAGTCACTTGTGAACTTATGCTGTAGAACACTGCTTTGAAATTAAGAGAACATTTTTGCTAGTAAAAGTGAAGGGCCACGATCCCTTTTGTGCCCACATTTGATCAGAGAGCTGATAATGTGGATCAATAATGGCCTAAAGATCTCCCTCTGAAAGGCATTAATTTTAAATCAACATGTGTTCAAATGCTTTAAAACATATTTTACTAAATTGAATACATTTCATGGAATTTTTTAAAAATTTTTTAATTTTTTTTTGTTTTTTACTTGTTCATTTTTAAACGTCTATGTTGCATCCGTGTATGTGTGTGAAATCAGGTTTCCAAACAACCGCCACCACACGCACCGAGCACATACGTCGTTCACGACCTCAACTCGCTGCAGCTAAATAGGCAAAGATGCAAACAGATAAAACGACGCCCACACTATCTTCAGCCACAGTTATTATTAATGGAATGTCACTTTATTGAAGAAAACTTGTTTATGCTTCACTCTATGAAGACTGGCCAAGGAATCGTTTGATTGACATGTGAAAGAGGGAGTGATTTCCATAAAGTTTTATGGTGACCAAAGGTTAAAGAAATGTTGCATAAATAATAGAATACCATTAGCACTGCAGAAAGCACTTAGCAAGTCTAAACAGCCGCTGTTCTTATGTCTAGTCTTATGCAAGTTCGATGCGACTATGACTTAGACTTAGACTATGACTATGACCCGAGTATTGACCTGAGTACCCATCCGTACGTCGTAGAGTTCAGGTTCAACTTAAGAAAATCTTGTTAAAGACAAGATGCACCCTGATTGCAGCACCTCTTGTGACCACTATGAGACACTGTTGTGGGGAAGATAAATGTCATCGAAGGATGTGTAATAACATTGTTGTAAAACTCACATTTTAAAACCATGAAAAAAAACAACCCAAAACAAAATAAGATCTTAAGATTATATCTGTAACTTTTAGACACGGGGTGTTCTGAACCTTTATGAAGGAAGAGATAAAACAGTGGGGATATATATTGGGCATAAAAAATCCCCACATCAACGTCGATTCTCAGTCATCAAGGTGTCATGAAGTCAAAACAGTGGGGCTATATATTGGGCATAAATTTGTAAAAAATCACCACATCAACGTAGATTCTCAGTCATCAAGGTGTCATGAAGGTCAGGAAACTTAAAAAGATGTCAGACATAGACAGACTGAATTAACAAGACTTCACTTCTCAACACTCTTCTCTAAGTCTGGAGTAAAAATCAGTACTTTGTCCTCCTGTTAGTGAAATAACCTATTTTTCCACAGTCACATATAATTAAATTTGTCCAAAAATATTCATCACCAAAGTTCATCAAAAAAAGGAAAGTGAATTATTTGTCACACTGCACACACACCAAATGTGATCTCTGCTTTTAACCCATCACCAAAGTCAGCAGGGGGCAACGTAAGCAGTGAGTGGGGACAGTGCCATGCTCAGAGCACCTCAGTGGTAACTTGGCAACTGGTGGACTCAAACCTAAATCCTTCCGGACCCAAATCCACTTCCTTAACCACCAAGACACTATTGGCCCTTAAGTTTTCACAGGACTACAACATTTGACACAAAAATCAAATCCATTCGAAAATAAATCTTTTATTCTTATATTGACCTGACATTAAAAATGGTTCATTGCCAAAGAAACATATTTTTAACAAATTAAACCAATATTTAAATGTTGATTTAAATCTTTGTGGATAGTCTGAAGGAAACAGAAGAAAACTCTCACTGTGTCTGTTAGTGCCTGGGTCTGAATGACACCAGGATTTATCTTAAGCAGTTAAAGGACCTTATTATTCTGCCAAGCCAAGGTTTGTAGTTGGACTTTGCGTGACTTGGAACACAACTAATTCTCCCATTTGAAAAGTTTGGTGTAAAAAAGAACCTCCCAATATCCAAAGATAAAAGACTGAGCTGCAAGGAGCTTTGATAGCAGGACAAAGATATCACGCTTAAGAAATAGTTTGGAGAAGTTCTTAACACCAAAGCACTTGACTTGTGCAGCTTAAAGTCAACTAGGAGACAAAACAGCCACTTTATCCGTGTTGCTAAATGTTGGAGCGTCTTCATTCTGCTGTTATTAAGTGTTCCATAATCCTAGGAAAACCCTGACAAAATGAAAGCAAAGTGACGTCTTTTTCTTCCAGTAATCCCGAAGACGGGGAGGGGCAACAGTTTTTAATCAGGGATCTATTCATTTCAGAGCAGTCTTTTTTTCACCTGTTGTGAAAGGAGACAGTCAGTCTTGGCAGAGATAACTAGGGGTTACTGAGAACTCAGACAGTTTTAAGGAATGCCTTCATAACATCGGTGTGTTTGTGTGTGTTCCAACCTTGACTCCTGAATGTGTTTTAGCTTGCCTGGACTGACATAAGTGAGATGAGGTGAACAGCTATACTGCCAAACTGCTAATCTTGGCAGGAGGAGAGAACAGGGTGAGGCAACGTCCTTAGAACCACAACCCCACCGGTGTTGACAGAATTAACATTAGAACAACATTTCAGGTTCTTTTGGTTGTGTTGTGTGGCACAGACCCCTTACGGATGCAACCTGGCCGAGATACGATCAAAAACTTAGTAAAACAGAGAGGCCAGTGCTGAATGCCAGGAAACAATCCAATAAAGGCACCTAATAAAAATGAACAGCTGTTTGCGTTTGTCTTTACAAAACATGTTTACAAAATTAACTTGCTCTGACACAACCCCCGTCTGACTGGAAAATGAAGTTTTATTTTGTAAAATGACGTGCACCACATTCCTTCGAGAGAACCAGCGATATTTAAACCACTGCATTTAATGTTCACCTCAGTCACACCATTTGGTAGGATTGCGTAGAAATATCGATTCATCAATGCATTGCGATCACCTCCCGCCCCTTCAATATCGATTCCACAATCTTCTGAACTGATTCAAGCCCCTTGTGTTGAAGGACAGATGACTCAAGCCCCTTGTGTTGAAGGACAGCGTAAGTTCAACAGAGAAGAGTGCCCCCTGCTGTTTGGAAGGGGGCACCTACAGGGTCACTCGGTGCAAGAGGGGAGGGGTATCTGGTATTACTACCAGAGTGTGCGTTCATAAACCAGTAAGTGAGATGTTTATGTTTGTCAGCCTTATACAATATTTTTCTATATCTGGCGTCTATGTCAATTGTATGTATAAAAATTATGTGAGTTATATGGCTGTTCATATGGGCATAAAACTAAATAAATAGTATTCTATTTATTTTAGAATAAAAAATATATTTTATATCAACAATAATTTAAACTGCTTAATTATCCCTTACTGTAGGTGGCGCTTTGTCCTTGAGGCAAAATTGGTGTGGTTCACCTCCTGGGCAAGAATCCCAGTTAGGGCGGTTGGTACCTTCCAGTGAACTCACCACCCACAGGAAGGTTCAGGGGGGTTGGTACGGTGCAGTGGGATTTGGGTGGTGGTCGTGGAGACTGCTACGTGTGTCACTGACTATGAACATTTTTCAGGCAGTTACTATAAATGTGAGAGAAACTCTTTCTTATCTGAGCCTTAGACCAACATATGAAACATTAGACTTGGTTACTGTAAAACTCACAGGGACCAAAAATGTGTTAAGTGAACAATTAATTTTCATTTTCTGTGTTCTTCTGTCACAGTTTCTCTTTCTCTCACGCACATATAAGCATGGAAAAATACACATACACACACACACACACACACACACACAGAGTTGTTGTCTCACTTTGTGCAGAACCTGCTGCTGTTACAAGATACAGTGAAACTCCTACAGTTGGTTTTTCCAGCTCTGTGACCAAACTCCACACACAGCAAACTGCCTCCTACTCACAACAACAACATAATCCTGTTTTTATATATATATATTTATATATATAAAATGCAGAGTCCAGTTTTCAGGAAGATGATATATACATGTATTTGAATTGTTTTAAAAAGAGAGGAAAGTGTGCAGACAATATAAAAGACAATTGTAATTGTTGTTTTTTCACAACGATTTTTGCTGATTCCGATACAGGTCAGATTGGAGTAAAATACTGACTGATTTTTGCTGATTCCGAAACAGGTCAGATTGGAGTAAAATACTGACTTGACTAGTGAACATTAACATTCAGTTTTGTTAATCTCAGTCTACAAAGATTGTGTCTCACACTCACTGTGACTGTATGTTGTCAAGCTCCTGTTCCGTGCGTCTTTGCAGCTGCTCGAGGTCAAAGGTCAGCTCCTTACTCCAAACAGCGAACCTCCAAAGTTCTTCTGGTCCGGGATTCTCCTCTAATCCCAGTCCCTAATCACAGTGGGAGACAAAAGAGAACCATGAGCGTCCGGTGTCCTTGAACAAAAACTCTCCCTCTATATATACGTACATGTTCTTAAAGCAAATTTAAATTTAAACTAATTTGCTAAGCGCATTTGCAAAGTGAATATTGTGACATCACAAGTCTACATGGAGCATTATTTCTAAATATTACCAAATACTAACTTCATGGTAGGCATATTTATGGACCTATTCAGCATGTGAACCACTCTGGGATTTGGTCTGGCATCATGGGTACAGAGTTTGCATCAGTCTGATTCAGGCAATTTAGGAGAGGTCCACATATAACTTGAAGACATGGATCAGGCCACACATACAAATTCTCTCTCTCTAAAGTATAATTTTATTTAGACAATTTTAAATGAGCGGGTGTAATCATTTATTCAACTCTCACCACATCAACTGTTAGGAAACACATAGCTACAGCACCATATCCTGAGGCGGGTCTTATAATTATAGATTTCTTTGACACACCTGAACAGTAACCAGGGTGGAGAAAATGAATCAAAGAAAAGTGTTCTGACGTGAGAGAAACAGCAAATGAGCTAATGTTTCATTAGTCATTAAGTACGAATCAGTAACAAGTATCTCATGTGAAAGTGTAGAGATGTCGGATTTCAGCGGTGCCGCTGTGTTTGACGCATCACTGTGTCAGACATGGCAGGATACTGAGTAGGGGGATGATTCAACATCTGCCGCAGGAGACACTGACATATTTAGAGGAGGTGAAAGGACAGAGAAGGTCAAGGAAAAGGACACAGGAGGACACGAGGAGCAAAGACAGAGTGGCGAGAACCCAGGTCTGACATGTCGTGTCGAAACTTGTCAAAAGTTCAGGGAGAAAGAAGGAAAAAAAAAAGAGTAAGAAAGGCTGAAGGCTGAAAGATAACAGACAGTCTGAGTCATTCTGGCAGAAGACGACGGTCGCCTTCATCGTCCTCTTCATCTGTCTGTAATCTTGCCTAATTCTTTTTTTTTTTTTGTTTGTCTGTGCTCAAATGACTCATACGTGCAAAGTGTTCACTTTGGTTCCATGTAAAACAGAAAACTAATCATATCCAACAATTTAGAGGTCATGCAGTTCATAGTTCATCACCTAATGTCTAACAAAGACACCTGAAGATCCGATACTGTTCAAAAACCAGCAAAGCTCACTTGAGGGACAACATTTTCATAATTTTGTACATGTCGATTAATTCCTGATTTATCGACATGTAACTTCTTATTCCTTACCCGGTTTCACTTTTTTTTATCTAAGCAGCACTGATAACATAAACATGAAAACAACAAAACAAAAACACGTTTGCATGCAAGCACTTAGCACAGCTACTTCGCCAACAAATGTTTTTTCCAAAAAATGATCATGTATAGTTTGGTTTAGTTAAACCACGTTTGCATGGAAGCACTTAGCACAGCTACTTCGCCAACTACCGGCTCCTGTCTCATCTTCCCAACTGGGCGGTAACTCTGTGCTGGCAGATGAACACAGTGCTGCTCTGGTTTCACCAGTACTGATAACAATCTTTGATTTATGACTGGATTTATGGGAAGTACTAAAGCATGGTCAAACATCCCCAACATCTCAACATGGCGTCCAGGTTTTTTTTATTTTCAATCCCAGACTCACAACAAACAATAAAAGCGATAAGACCACTGTGATTCTCAAAGCAACATGGCATGGCAAGAAGCTAAAACAACACGGCGAAAAAATGATATAGGTCATTAGTGATTCCTAAAAACAGTCAAGAACTCTTTTCCGCCGGAAATAAAAATCAATGTACAAAAAACAGCCATTTTGAATGAGATTTGTTTGTTATTCATTCAGACTTAATCAAAGGGAAACAGCAGATCCATTTTAGAGCAATTAGGGTGTGTTGACACTCGTCATGATTGGCTAGATTACATGAAGCCCTGCTGGTGTTGCTCTGTCAGTGCGGTTCAACGTGGTTGAACATGTGTGAAGGTTACTGCCCAAATCACTGTGTGAAACTAGGATGTGGATCCAGAGTGGGCTGGTGTCCTGTCCTGGATTTCTATTCTCTGTCCGATTAGTATGTTTTGCGTACTGTGCATGCCCACAAAAGAAAAACCACTAGAATACGTCATCGCTTATCCCCCATAACTGTTAACAAAGCAAATGTTGTATATATATGAACATCTAGAACAGTGTTTCCCAACCACTGTGGCGTGGCAAACCGGTGTGCCGTGAGAGATTATTAGGTGTGCCGTGAAAAATTATCCAATTTTACCAATTAGGCTGAAATCTATTATTTATTTATTGCATATAATTTTTCTTTGCTCATCAAAGCATGAAAGGCAGGACAATTAAATACTATTCTGCAGATGGCTAGGAAAACCAAAAAAAAAAAAAAAAATCAGCTGTTAAAGAAGATCTTTGTGAGTGTCTTTCTTCAATTCCTGCCAGTATATCAGCATTGTCCTCAACTAAACAGGCAGAGATTTTAGTCATTATGCGGTCATTTACACTAGAAGAGTATTATTTTTCATTACATATACTTATATATTTTGTGGGATTTTTGTTTGGTGGTGTGCTGTGGGGTTTTTCCTGATGATATATATGTGCCGTGGCTGAGAAAAGGCTGGGAAACACTGGTCTAGAATGCGGTGTTTTCGCTTGTATTTAAAAAAAAAAAAAAAAATCTAAATTACATGTTGATAATCGAAATCGACAAAAGTATTTTAATTTAAATATTTTCGCATCCTGTGATGCTAATTTCCAAATTGCGCAAGCTCCTACAACCCTTGAAAGTAAATAATAATGGAAATAAAAAATGTATCACATAAATGAGCTAAGTGACGATACTCCAAGTTAATCTATTTAGGTGAGTACCTGGCACACATACAGGAACACACATTGCACATCCAATGCAAATAATAAAAAACATTTTTATATGTAGGTCAGCAAGTGGGAAACAAACTGGAATAACAACCCATTGCTTAATAAGCTGGTTGTATCTGAAATTATATTATTATTCTAAAACTATAATACAATATGTAAATAAATATGAAAGTAGATTGAATTGTTATCTAATGACCTTAGTGGTTTTGACAGGTTGACCTTGTTCAAAATGGTACTGTAACATGATTGATGTCTGTCCTTCAGACAGACTGAGAGCTGATGTCGAAGTGTTACAGCTGCATATCATCAACAGACAAATGGTCCATTTGAGAAGACCAATGATAACATCAAGTGGGAGGGGTGACATGATTTAGTTAACTCTGTATGTCTTTGGTGCTCTCTTTCCTTGTGCTACCATAACTTGATAACTGAGAAATATATCCATTCTTGAGCACTTAAAAAAGCTAGTCCTTGTGCAGTAAGATGACTGAGATCAATATCTAGACGCAACACTGTTTTCGCTCAAAAATGCACACCACTACAAATTGTTCGCCATTTTTTCTGAGGTACAGAAGAGTTGCAAGATTTCCCTCAGAGGTGCCTGTTAATATGCCAGTAAGTAATACTGGAACAGTTGGTGTATCATAAAATCAATTGAAATGTGGATAAATAATGATGTTTCCTGATATTTTTCTTTTAAGGAGAAAACATTCCAAAAGGTAGAGGGCCACATCGATCAGGCACAATGGATGACAAGATGACAGAGGCATTTCAAAAGTGAAATCATACAAAAAACAACAAAAAAAAAAAAACAGAAATTTTGAGTACGAGAAAGGAGATGAAGTGCTTCGTTTCAACATGAGAAAGAGTGCCAGGAAAGAAGAAAGGGCAGCTATTTTGAAATCAAGGCAGGGTGAGTGCTTAAAAACCAAACACAACATCGGTCATCTGAAGCTGTACAAACGGAGTACCGACTTTGGCAAGTCAAGCATGAGTAGTGTGCCATCAGGACATTAGTAATCACATATATCAGGGACCATTTCAAAAATAAATTGACAGGGAATGAGGACTACATTAAAGGGGTAATGGTCAGATATTGAACACCCCAGATATATATATCCATATATATATATATATACCGCCTATACTGAGGTATACCCCGTGGGTATACTAATCTAGTAGACATAATTCACCAACAGAAAAGTATAAAATGTATTAAACTATTATTATATGAATCAAATAGGTAAAAATTCACCCATCAAAAACTGTACCGTGTTTAAAACTATAAACCTTTTTTTTGTACCAGACATTTGATGATGAAAACATCACTTTAAGACCAGGGATTACCAACTGAAGTTGCCAAATTTGTTGCATTAGTAGGTAAAACCCTACAATCACACTGGTCAAAATGCTTTCCTGCAAAACACAACAAGACAAAAACAAGAAATGCTGTGTTTCTTTAGTGACTATTAGGCTAAACTCTGAACCATGAGAAGTCAAGAATGCACTGCCTGGCCATTCAAGGTTAGGTTGTTTTATGTTGTGTCGTTTGGATTCCAAGTTTGAAAGTCATTACAAAAATATATATTTTAATTGCAGGTCCAAAGAAGTGATGGACATCAGTAGGAAGTTGGTTGTGGGGTTTAGGTCTAACTTACCTGTAAAAAAAAAAGGCCACAAAGATGATGATCAGACCTAGGCTTAAACAAAACCACTTTGCATACAAGATGCTAAAATGTAGCCAAAGTCAAAATCATCATCGTCAAAAAAAAAAGGCCACACAGTAGAAAGATGATGATCAGACCTAGGCTTAAAGCAAGGAATAGAGTGTGAATGCTTAATTGTCTCTATTGTCTAAATTAAATGATTCTCTTAAATGTATTTCTTCTTAGAGTTCATGTACATTTACTCTAATTGTGACTCTGTTGTTCTTTCTTGAACTGCAGGTTCTTTTAGAAGCTTCTCTAGCTTTTCTCTGTGTATGTTAGAACAAAGAAACAGGCCAGCAGCCAATCCCATTACATGTTAAATGCAGATACTAAACAAAGCAAGCATGTTTAATGCTAAAAAGCTAAAAGTTCTCTATAGAAGCAGGAAAAAGTTGTTCAGT